AAATGGTGTCAAAGACACCCACCAACTAGTGGATGGTCAGGAATCTTGTGCAGTAAAGTCCTCTGGGGCCATGCTGTTTTCAGGCCACTTGCCTGAAAAGCTTGACTGGTTTTCTACAGATGAGTCACCTGTGTGACCTACCTAGTTTGGGTTTTGGTACCTTGAGGATGTGTGTTAAGCCTACATTGGTTCTGTATTTAGAAACGGAGAAGAAACATGCTAATTGGGATGTATTTACAGCTTTAGCATCTGGAACAAGCTCAGAACAAGCATTACTCTGTAGCAGCACAGTGTCCCCATTTCAGATACTGTGTATATCATAACACGCTTGTGAGATGGGCTGATGCCAGCTTTATGAAGTTTAACCATGACAAGTGCAAGGTCCTACACCTGGGTAGAAGCAATCCCAGGCACAGCTACAGGTTGGGCAGAGAAGAGATTCAGAGCAGCCCTGCAGAGAAGGACTTTGGGGTACTGGTCAATGAGAAAATGAGCATGAGCCAGCTGAAGTGTGCATTCACAGCCCAGAAAGCCAACTGCATCCTGGGCTGCATCAAAAGGAGCGTGACCAGCAGGTCGAAGGAGGTCATCCTGCCCCTCTACTCTGCTCTTGTGAGACCTCACTTGGAGTATTGTGTGCAGTTCTGGTGTCCTCAGCAGAAAAAGGACATGGAACTGTCGGAACAAGTCCAGAGGAGGGCCACAAGGATGATCAGGGGACTGGAGCACCTCCCATATGAAGACAGGCTGAGGAAGTTGGGGCTGTTCAGCCTGAAGAAGAGAAGGCTGCGTGGAGACCTCATAGCAGCCTTCCGGTATCTGAAGGGGGCCTATAGGGATGCTGGGGAGGGACTCTTCATTAGGGACTGTAGTGACAGGACAAGGGGTAACGGGTTCAAACTTCAACAGGGGAAGTTTAGATTGGATATAAGGAAGAAGTTCTTTACTGTAAGGGTGGTGAGGCACTGGCATAGGTTGTCCAGGGAGGTTGTGAATGCTCCATCCCTGGTAGTGTTCAAGGCCAGGTTGGACGAAGCCTGGGGTGGCATAGTTTAGTGTGAGGTGTCCCTGCCCATGGCAGGTTGGTTGAAACTAGGTTATCTTAAGGTCCTTTCCCACCTTAATTATTCTATGATTCTATGATTTGTTGGGTTCGCTTTTTAGTATTGATACATAAATGAGTGGTTAATTGCATACTTTTAAATGCTGATAACCATAATTTTAATCTCTTCATGCTTTAGTGATTTGTCCCTGTCACAGTTCTTCAGCAGACTTCAGAAGGTGTTTTGGTTGGGCCTTGCAGAATGGGGTAGCAATCATTGGAGAAGTGCTTTTACTAGTTATGGTGAGAGTGATACTGAATACTTTCTGTGAGTATGAATTTCTCATGGAACTCTGGCTAATACGTTTCCTTGTTTACGGGCAGTATTTAATTGTTGTAATAGTCTAGTGGATGTATGTTTTGATTGAGAGCACTGAGGCTCTGCCAGAAAGTTCTGTTACAGAGAGGTAGCAGCTCCCAAAAAGCTCTGGGAAAGCCCTGTGAAGTAGAGAGGAATTGCTTTGGTGGAGAGATACATTACAGAGTGTCATTGCAAGATCCAGCCCCCACCTCCTTCCTGTATGCCTTGCTAGGAAAGGAGGAGGATGGAGCTGGACTCGCTCCCACTTTTGTTGCTCTCTGAGTTCATTTATCTGCAGAGGAAAGATCTGTCCAGGTAGCTCCTGCTTCAACCTGCGCTTTGGGCTGGGCTGGCCTTGCCTGCAGGAGCCAGGAAATAAATGCCTCTGCAGGGAACGAATATAATGGAAACATATAAATGGTCCCTCAGTTTTAAGGTAGTAAAATAAGCCCTTATCTCGGGCTAATATACGGCTTCTGGATTTCTGCCTAGGTGAGCCAGTTATGTATGTGCAAAGAAGAGGAGAGAGATCAAGTTCATACATGTTTCTGAAGCTCTGTTTCAGTTTTCTAACACTGAGCTTTACCGATTGCTACAAAACGTAATACTCCTCAGTAGACTAGACTAGACTGTTTCAGTTGGAAGAGACTTAAAATGATCATCTAGCCCAACTGCATGACCAGTTCAGGGCTGACCAAAAGTTAAAGCATGTTATTAAGGGTATTGTCCAAATGACTCTTAAACACTGATAGGCCTGGGGCACTGACCACCTCTGTTCCACCGTTTGACCGAAGTAGTTGTGGCACTGAAATTTTGTTTTATTTACAATATATATATATTTCAACACTTTGTATATTATTCTTTCCAGGCTGTTCTTATATGACCTAGAACACCCTAAGTGGTGTTTTTTTTTTTTTGTTTTTTTTTTTTACTTGTACTTATGTCCTCTGGATCAGTCTCTTCCCCAGACCTTCCTGTGACAAGTGCTGGGTGTATCATTCTTGGGAGAAGTTTTTGGCCCAAAGCTCTTCGATATGTTAAACAAAATTGTGGAGGACATATACAGTCATTACAAGTAAGATTGGCAGCTCTCAATAAAGCAGCATATTGTCTGTGTGCAGAGCTGCTTAGCACAGTAAGTCAATGCCCTTGAGCGATCTCCATCTAAATGCAGCTAAAGGCGGGGTCATACATCCAAAAACAGAGTGCAAAGAACTAAATAAACTGGCAGACTTTTTCCTCGTTTCCTCTTCCTCCTTCTCCACCCTGAAAGGCTGCATTTTGGTCTGGCTCAGAAGCAGGATGAATCCTTTTGCCTTTTCCAGCTGCAGAGTCTGGAGGAGGGTCACAGCATGCATCACTTTCTCCAAGTATTTTTTACCTATGAGTTTTCTAGAATGGATTGCAGGTGATCTTTGTTTGAAGGAGAAAAAAAAATAATAGTTAAATAGTTCTGGTAACAAAGTTGGCTCCACACAGAGGAAATGAACAGAGTGCTAATTACAGTGCTGTCTCATGGCAGCTTGCTTCACAGCTGTCAAAAAGAATAGGAAAGCGCCTTTGATGTGTTCATAGACAAACACAGACATCTTTTGTGGCAGCAATAAAAGTATCCTCAGAGTTCAGTGGTATTTTTGTTTTTACCTGTGTAGTGGAGGAGCCTCTGCCGGCAGTGTTTGGAGGGAAGTGCAAGTGATAGTAACAGTGGGAAAGACTGATCTGCCAAATAAATGTATTTTGGCAGCAAATGGATTGTGAGTGCAGCTATTCCCATCAGAGTCACCTCTGTTTGTGATACTGTCTAGCTGCATTACAGGATCTTTGTTTTAATTAGTTTGTATGTATATGTAAGGAGGTAGATTATATGTATGCTACATATGCAGCTTATCTAATAATTATATTAACTGTACAATAACTTTATAGAACTCTAAAAAAAGATTTTGCAAATGTAGGGAAGGGTTGATCAAACATAGTATGAGGTTCTTCTTTCTGTCTTATGACTGCATTTCTTTAGCAGCATATGGATCCTGAATGCTTTTGTTGGAGGTATCACTTTACATTCAGAGCTGGCATGAAATAGATGTAATTCAGCACCAAAGGAAAACAGTTCTGAAGGAAGAGACACTTAAACACAGGCTAAGCTAGGCTCTGTCACATGTAGATCTGAAGCCAGGGTGAAGGCTGTAGCTCAAAGGAGAGGGTGAAGGGAGACAGAAGAACGGATGTGTGGTAGAAGTTGTCCTGTGAGAAGGCAGTCAGCAGGGTGGCTGGCTTGGGACATGGCTGTACAGGACAAGTATTGTGCAACGTATTGGAGGAATGGGAAGGGATGAGTTAAGGGATGAACTCCAGCTGTAGTAGGATGCAATTGTGAAAGATTTTCAGGAGGTGAGAAGGGAAGATGACATAACTGCACCAGGGGTGCAGTTGAGGAAGAGTAGGTGATAATAAGAAAGATCCTTTGAAACTAGAGCAGAAGCATTTGTGGTGGCCTGAACAGCAAACTGATGCATATTTAAGTAGTGGCAGCAAGGATTAAGTTGATGGAACTGAGCAACATGAAATGCGAACATCTGAAGACAGGATGGAGATGATGACAGGAACTTGTCCTTTGCGGAATACCTGTTTCTGATGCCAGGTGTGGTAACCACGCAACATCAAAAAAGGTGTAGTGTAGTCCCCTGTGAAAGTTACTTTCTCTGTTACCTTTGAATCCTCTCTAGTAATACGGGGTTTAACCCTCTTTTTGGATCACATGGGATTCTCAAAATGAATCACTTAATTGCTTGGCCACATGCAAGCTAGCTGCCCATTTGCCTTCCTTCTCTAAAATCTTTGGTTAAGTTAGTATTAATTCCTTCTGGAGGGTTGAAAGGAGTGGATTATGAAAAACTTTTATCCTAGGCACATGAGCTTTCCACTCTTTTTTCCTTAACCCATTATAAGACAAGGAGTTACGAAATTCTCCCTCATGCCTGTACATTATGCAGTTTGATCAGTTCAAGATGTTCCTCTGTCCTTACTGATTCTAAGTTAACATTTTAAGAAAAGGAGCAGTATACAATTTGAGCTTGATTTCCCTCACCTCCCCCCTTTGAGTTAGGCTTAAGAAATCAGAAATACTGCTACAAAATTTCTCCCTTGTTTCACATAGTGCAAAGAAAACTCAAAAGCTGTTGGGCTATGTAGTCCTTCAGCCTTAGGGGTCCAGAGGGTATGGAGGTGGTTTGGGAGTTGTGGCCACAAATGCCTGTGTGGGAGAAATTCTGCTGCACTCCTGTGTACCATGCTGCTGTCAGTTAGGCACGGACCAGAGCAGACTCTGGAATGTTGTCAGGGTCTTGCCCTGTCCTTACTTTCCCCAAATAGCCATCCAGACAGAAAGGGCTATTCACAACTAACATTGAAAGATTAAAAAACTTAAATATTCTGGACAGAACAGTGCAAAACCCAAAGAGAAATAGGAGAAAACACTTGGCAGTTATAACAAAACTTTAGGCTACTTAAAAAAGGTGCATTATCAGTTTCTGGGTATGTCAGGCATTTTTGCTCTTGATACTGGACTCCTAATATTGTTTACATCTATCCTTAAAGAAACAATCCTAAGGAAGATTTTGTGCCTGAAACTAGCCTTTGCCTCTTTACACATACTTCAAAAGACTTGCCTGTATTTAAGAGGAAAAGAAATGCAGGGTTCACATTTGTTACAAGTGACCAGAAAGATGTCCCTGGGGAAGGAAGGTGAAGATGTTATGTTGGGGGGGGCAGCAAGACTCTCACTGCAGTAAAATGTATGTTTGCTGTATAATGAACAGGGAGGAGCTGCTGGGTGCTTGACAGGACTGTCAGGGGCATAACTTCAGCTTTCAACCACTGAAATTTCTGTGCAGCTGAGTTGTGCTTTGGTTTGTACCAGGCTTGTTTATGGAGGTGGTGGAGCCAGTGCTGTAGTAGCAACTGTTTCGAATAGAGGCAAGGCAGGCGTTGTTTTGGAAGCATGAATGTCTGAAGTATTACTCTTCTGTAGTGTGTTTTCCAGAAAACACCATTTCTGCCAGATGTTGGAGCAATTCTGTCTTAGAACAACCGTGGCAGCTGTTGAGGCACAGTGGAGCACACTGTCCTGTTCTCCAAGAAAATGCAACTTCACCTAAATTTCCTCCCTCAGACACCTTAGACATTTGTTACTGTTTGCTGCTTCTCAGATTGCTTTCCTGTTCCTTTGTGTAGCTATTGTACTGATACACGGATTGACTCCACAACTCGTTAAGAGTTGTCAAGTAGGTATGCTTTATTCAGCGCTGAGGCGCATGGGGGTTTCTCCTCCAAAAGCATGCGTGCACCCCTTTGCTTCTCAGTTTGTTTATATTACATATAATGATTACCTAAACATGAGATTGCTTCACGCCTCATACATATGCAAAAGCTATTCCCGTCTAGTATTATAATTAGTTTTCTGGCATTCATCCCATTGGTGTGCCTGTGCAGTGCCTCCTGGTGGTGGTCGTTAGGGGGTCGTGAGGGTGAAGGCCCTCTTCATCACCGCGAGTAACCTCTTGCTTTCACACAGATTCAATAGGGTTTCGGCTCCTGTCCAAACCTCAGGTTCGGTACAAGCCGGTTTTATGTGTCTTAAAGTAGAAACTTGTCAAGTTTGTAAATTTTGTTACTCTGGCTATCTTTTGTTCCTTTTCTTTCTGAAGATATTATTTGAACAAGAACGTCTTAAATATTAAGCTGTGAATCTTACCTACTAGAATTCTGCCTAGCAGCTGTAACTCCTACAGTTCTGCTTCACCATTCTAGCAACTTTGACTCCTACCGTTCTGCTTCACCAAGCACAGGGACTGCTTAAGCAAGCAGGCACAGTGTTAACCCTTTATTTTCCGGTATCAGTACGACAGATTTTTCTTGGCTGGTGGCTTTCTATTTACTCTAATGAAACCCACAGGCAGATATCTGGGGATTCTTTGAAACCAGCATAGTCAGCTGTAGAATTATATCAGTGCTTATGTTTTGTAAATTGATTCTAAGATAATTTCAAGCACTTCTGATTTTTTCTTTTTTTTTTTTTTTTTTTTTTTTTTTTTAACACAGTGTGGTTTTTAAATAGCAAAACACTTGGGTTCACTGACTCACTTTTTCCAGTGCATTTTAAATAAAAAGTTCTATTTGGGTCAGGATGAAAGGAATTAGTTGAAAGGTATTATTTAAAAGCCATTTTTTTTAAATCACCTTTGCTTGTCAGCATAAAACTAGTGTTATTTTCCAAGTGGAAGTAGAAGACTGCAGATCTGTGGTTTGGATCACAGCCTCTGTATAGTATTGTTGAGAAGGTTGTAATAAATTTGCGTCTGAAATACACTGGAGATGAGAAATTTATTGCATGCTTCTGAAAGCATTTTCATTTTCCAGGGACAGGTGACTATACATGCAAAATTTGACAAAGATATTTACCTCCCAAAGGATGCTGAGTTTTACTTTGTTTACGATGGATCCCTGAAGAGGCATGTAATGTTTGCAGAACGAGTTAGTGACAATGCTCTTCGGTCTGTTGTTCCAGGTGAGTGTTAACTATTGTTCACATTTTTGCTCTCTTTGCTGTGCCCTACATCCATGTCAAAGCTGCGCACAACGCATGATTTGGTACAACTCTGGTTTATGACTCTGTAATGGAGGAAATGCAGGAATTGAATGATGGTCTTTTAAGGATCCAGGCTGAGTTTGGCTGGCTATAGGTGTTCCTGCCTTTCATAGCAATGAACCGTGATACCAGCACAGTATGAGGTGTAGACAGTATTACTGGGCTTGCACAGTTGGGTGTGCATTAAAGTGCAGTCTTCAGGGATGGCATAATTTTCAATGTGAATAAAGTCTGTTGCACAACTGTTTGCTTCCAGGCACCCTAACGCCTCAAAAGCAATATTTTTGTCTGAGCCTTCCCTTGGTGCTGCAACCACCCCAGCTTCCAGCCCTCGTGGTGGAGGCATGAGGTGCTTGGAGCTCTGCTGGAGCTATACTCAGTACAGAGGTGTCAGTGAAACCGTTCCAGTGGTGCCTTGCTGCATAGAGGGGTATTTGTTTAGCCTCCCAGCTGGCCCTCTGCCTTGGCATTTTCCCCCTTATGGATGTAACCCTGGTTGTCGTCTTTATTGTGTGCTTTGTGACCTTTTAATTTGTGTGAGTAGGTGGCTATAGACATGGTGTACCTGTGCAATAGGATCTGCTTGTTATTTTTTCTTGTTTTCTAAAGGGGATTTAGAGTCTGAAAATAACTGCTGAGTATAAAAAAAGAGAGTTTGCTGCTGTTACATAGTGGCTCCTTTGATCCTCTGAATGATAAATGATTGTCATGGATTACAACTGGAGAAAATTCAATGCTAGGCTTATTCCAGGACAGCAAAGTTTTGTGGGTTTTTGATTTGTTTTTTATTAAGAGGCCTGAAATGACACTGTTAAATGATTGCTTCTGAGCTACGAATAAAAACAGGAGGCTGCAAGTAACACTTAATCCTCTGCCTGTTCCCAGCAGACGCCATTAACAGATGAAAATAAAGTGTGAGGTTAAAATATAGTCCTGCTGATGTTAGTGTTGTTTCATAGTGGCCAAATTAAACATAAGGGAACGTAGAGCACTTTAAAAACATCTGCAGATGTGGTAAGTACATGCTTCCTTCTGCAGCTGCTAGATTGCATATATACTTGTAGTCGTTCAGGGATATTTTTGGGAATTTAGATTTGCACCCATAGTATGTCATGATTAGCTCTCCTGTGAGAGTTACAGCTTGCATTTCGTAGATATATGATATCCACCCTCACTTAGATCGCAAAGTAGGAGGAGGAATGCACAAGGTGCTTAAGAGGTTTGAGAGACAAACTACCTTGGACTTCGAGGGTGCCAACTATAAGTTTAAGAGCTGATACAGCACTTAATCAAGTCTGCTGGAAGCATGAATCATGCATTAGTTAAAAGCTTCTAGGTTTTGGCCTACATGGAGACACCAAGTAGGTACAAAATGGGTGTTAAATAGATACATTATTCAGATTTGGTGTTGCAGGCCACTGTGCCACTCTTGTGATGAGTATTGCATTTTTCGTAATTCTTATCCAGGAACCTTCAAGTTTTTGATTTGTGGGATTTCATACTGATATAGTTATCTCTTCTTTCCATTGCTGTTAAAGAGCCTTCACCTAGAAAGACCGTTCCTGGTTTAAGTACGTCAGTATGACTGGGACGACTGGCAATTCACGGTCTATTCAAGTCCAAGTTCATCACCAGAAATGGTTGGTGGATGCCCTACAACAGATAGATGTGATTAGAGGAAAGAATGAAATAATGCTGGATTAGTAGTCACAGCTCTTAGAGGCAGGGGGGAATGAGGAAATATTAATGTATTTTCTGAACATAGGAATTGTTAGTGAATAATCTGCATTATAATTACAGGTCATGGATGCCAAGAAGCAGTTGCTGTCTCTGTGTTAATGTACACAAGGGGATACTCACCTGTGGTCCTCGGCAGCTGTCCCATCAATTACAGGGAGAATCTGTCTTGCAAATTGTCTCGCTTTCTGGTTGATCATGCAGAATGTGTCACTGCCGCTAGTCATGAGCTGTTGCTGGATAAATTTGGGCTAAGGACAAGAGATCTGCAGTCCCTTGATAATGATTTGATGATGGCTGTTGCTTATGAAGAGTTGCCAACGACCTGGAACATCCTTGGAAGCTGCTCAGAAGGTGGTAAAGTTTGATTTTCAGTTGGAAAACTTTTAACAGTGGTTTTGCTCACAGTTCAGAGCAGGGTGTCTCATCATTTTATTGCAGGTTCTCAACCCTAGTATTTTATTTTGTGGTTGAGATGAAAAATTGCTCAAGTATGAGAGGGGCAGTGAACAATTTGGTTTGTGCCCAGAGGTTTAAAAAGGATAATAATGGTTATTGTAACTTAGTCTCTCCAGAACCTTTTTGTGCCTTGACTCAGTGTAAATGCAGTTCTTTATTTATAAGTAGACTCTGCCTTTTCAAGAATAAAGAGCTGTCTGTTTTAAAAAAGTAAGGATTGTAGCAGTGAGGTATTGCCGCCATGTTTCCAACCAAGTGAGATATTTTAATTACACAGACAAAAAGGAGATGGTCATAAAACAGAAGAATGTGTTACTGTAGGCAATGATGTACAGAGTTAATACAGCTTTTGGCACAGTTCTGTCAGTCTGTTTATGCTTTAAGACTATAATAATTCTTTGGGGAGAATATCACTAAGCAAGCTTCGTGGCTTTTATTTTATTGTAGAGGAAGTGGGGTAGAAATATACATGAAAATTTACATTAGGCCATGCTGTTGAAAATTCTGTAACCAGATCAAGTGAAATTTTCCTGGTTTCAGGTTTGACTGCAAACAGAAAACTGTAGTTAGGTTTTGCTGAATAGTATAATTTTTTTTGCAGAGCCACCTGATTTATAGCTGAGGTTGGAAACTCTTAAACTTGATGGCTTTGTATGTTTTTCATTGAAAATTCGGTACTTTTGGCTGCTTTCCTTTTAGCACTTTAAATTGCTAAAAGCTGGAGGACAGGCAGTTTCCATGTGAGCCAAAACTGAAAGAGAGGTTCATGCAAGCTTCTGGGAAGTAAAAGCACAGCACTTAGCTCATTTCTTTGGGTGAGGGCTTTTTTCCCTTCTTAAATCTTTCTAATTCTTAATGACAGCTTGAAATCTGCTACTGCCTTCTTCAGGAGAAGGATGGGTTTTGTCTGTCTGTTGTAAACAGCTCTTTCAAGAGATGTAAAAACAAATACCATGTCTCATTCAAATACTGGCTAGACAGGAGAGAAAAAAAAAGACTGTTAACTTGTTTCATTTTGATGTGTAGTAAATATTTGTTCATGTTATTCATCTGCTGGAATGGCTGTTGGATCTTAGCAATGAAGATCTTGATTCAAAGTCTGAAGAAATCAACTATAAATTTGTTCACAGACTTGGCTAAGCTTTTCGTGAAAACCAGTTGAAGCCCAATGCAGAAGCATCAGCAGGATAGCAATGGTACTGAGAGATGCTTGGGCAAAGCTAGCTGGGTACATACTTGCTTGAAACATGGGGGAGTTTATGCTGGGTGTATTGTGGGCTCAGAGATTTGGAGATCAGCTCAGCTGGTATCAGACTGCTATGCAAATAGCAAAATCCTTTAAGTTTTAGTTATGCTAATTGTTAATTTTCACGTGCTGCAACATTTGTATGGAAAAGAGTATGTTGCCCTCATGATACTTTTATAGGACTGGTATTTTTATGTTTCTATGTGTTTTCCAGTCTTTGTTCACTTTTCAGATTTAAATATTATACATAAACAAAATTTCAATACAGCAAAAAAGCAGGGGTATGTGCCTCAGTCACTGTACAAAGTCTCTGTGAAGGTTTGAAATGTTTTTACAAGCATGCCTCGTTAGAGGTTGCCTCATGGGCACTGTTGCACTGAAGAGATGACATCTCCCTTTGTACCCCAGTTATTGCTCTTAAATGAAGCTGTGTTCTTTCCTTGTTTCTGAATAAAACAAAACCTGGGGTCCTCGTAGCCACAGCAAGGAGCTCTCAGTGCAGTGCAGTCCTGCCTCAAAAGTGCTTACTGGCCACCCTTGTTGAGTGTGGAGCTCCTGAAAGCTTTCCGTACAGCTTGTCCTTCAGCCTAAAGGAAGTCAGTCATTTCCTTTGTCTCTCTCCGGGGTCCAGCTTGGGCTGGGCCTGACATATATTTTGGTACCCTCTAAGCAGTTTGTGTAATTTTTTTGGCTCCTATATCCTCTCTCCTTTCTGAAAATATAGTTTTGATTCTTCTTTCAGACAGCTTTATTTATTTGATTCTTCTTTCTACAGCCATATTCTTCTTTCATCTGATTCTGAGAAGCACTGACTCTTGTTGCTTCCTCATACTGCCCCCATCACTGTGTTTTTGTCCCCAAAGCCAAGACTCTAAGCATAGCTGAGGGAGTGGGAAGGACAAGTGGGTGGATCAGGGCAGGAAGGCTTCAGATCTTAGCACAGTTGAGGAGTTGATTAATCATCTTCTACTGTAAGGTGATCAAGAGTTGTCCCAGCATTCCATTTCTTCCCCATGTTCCAAAAGATCAAAATGGGTGGGAAAGAGAGACTTTATAAGGATTTAGAAAGAGGGTGAGACTTTCTTTCCCTAGCTGCTGTACCTGCAACTCTTTGCCCTAAAGGCCTGATGGTGTGGCTTTTTAGTATTGGTGTTGTGAAAGATGTGCGTGCTGTCATCCTTCACTAGTTAGGACTTCATGTTTTTGAGATTCTGTCAGTTTTCAGAGCTTCTGGGCTATTTGTACTGGAAAAGATTTGCTTGTGAGTGATACATGGCTGGAGAAAATTACTGCAACATCTGGTGTTTTGGACCTCATTCATTTTTATGAGGATTTAGAGACATATGGGTTGATGGAAAGATAGAAGAATAATTCTTTCATAGGAGTTTTCATATTCAGAAGAAGTGTTTGTATTCCCTTTATAAGGTATAAAAAGGATTGGATAAAGAGAGCCTGGATTGTCTAGGGAGCCTTGCAAATAATTCAGGAATTTAGTGCAGTTGCACAGGTCAGGACTTGTTAGCCACATTGTTTAAAGTTCAACAAAAGAAACAGGAAAGCATGAACGTTTCAGTAATCCTCACCTGTAGTAAGTGCCTGTGTGACAACCATGTCAGAGGCTGCTTACTCACACAAATTGGCTGGATTTTGCGATCACCTGGCCCACAAGCAGTTTGCTGCTAGAGGAACCTAACTGAACTGCTATGCTCACACATTTATTTCTTGGTGGGTTTGAAGAAAGGGGAAGGAGGGCTAGTGAGGAGGGATAGGGAGAAGCTAATTTTCTTTTTGATTGCACCTTATAAAGGATATTTTCCTTTTGAAAATTGTATTATCTGATTTATGTATTAAATTGTATCCAATCAGTATTAAATCATAAGCAAATAACTTGTTAGAGCTGCTTTAAAAAAAGAATAATTTTCTTCCAAAAGTTTTTCAGGTTACTAAGAAAAAGAAGAAAGATGGGGTAGTTTAATCTGGAAAAGAAAAATGCTTCTAAGTAACCTTTCCTCCCTTAGTGCCGTCAAGTTAGGGCAGTGTTTTAGGAGTGTCAGCCCCGAAGGACCATCAGACATAGGTTTTGCATCTGCACTGCAACTTTTTTGTCCTTGAGACACTTACTACTTTCCTTGGCTGTCAGAGAGGGAGCAGGAGCACCATAGCCATTTGCCTTACACACAGGAGACTGAGGGCATCTCTGTTTCTGGCTGTTTTAGGGGCATTGCTGGGAGTGTGAGTGCAGGTTGTCTGGGTGATTTAACTATGCTGGTAATCAAACAAGAACACTGGCTGCTGGCTTTGCCACTATTTAGTTATTTTCAAGAGGAAGAGTGCTCTTTTAGGTTTAAAGCTATTGGTAGAAGCAATAAAATTATGACCTGAATTAGGAAAATTAGTTGTGGATTATAGGGAAGTATCCATACTTGTTTAATTCCCTTTTATGAAGAAGGAGAATTTCCACTTTATTTCATAAATGCTTCGTAATTGTTTTCTACGATTGGGTCTTGTGGCATGAACTGAAGTACCCAACCTTGCTGCTTTATAGTCTGCCTTTAGGGAGCACTCTTAACATTTTCTGTGTCAAATTTTGACTTTGCTGCCCTCTCCCTGTCCTTTTGTTTGTAAATCCTGGTACTATTTCCACTTGGTGTTAAACACATTCCTGCTAAGCTGCACCAGTTCAAACCTGGCTGATCCCATGTTGTATTTTTTATCTAAATTGAATACTGACTCTGTCTTTTCCTCAGGTGGAATTTTAGATTTCTTTTTTTCCTGCAGAAGGAAAGGGAGATGGTCCGTGTTCCCTTTCACGGAATTAGGAAAACACTGGGAACATCAGATAAGTATTTCTAGTTATGGTAAGCCTTGTGAGGATAGGTAATATTTTTTTGGTCAGACAGTTCAGGAGGTTAGAGAAACAGACAAATCTTTGGCTCTGTAGGAGTTTGCTGCTTTGGAAACTGCATGGGACAGAGGAAAAGCAGTAAAGACAAGTGAAACTTCACCTGACAGTGTGGATGGTAGCACCATCCACAGCCTTTACTGAATGGGGTTGGTGGATGGGAGGCTTCTGAAGCCTTCCTCATGCTAAAGCTGATGCAAGACTATTTACAGCCCACCCTTGAGATAGAGTTTAACCTTCCCCCCCTTTCCTCCTCTTCTCAAGCAGCATTGATGCCAGCCTCTGGGTGTTGATAAAGGTCTGATGAATAGGGGAACTAATTAAAGAAAAGGGGGATGTGCCAGATATGAAGTAAATGGAAAGGGAAGATGTCATCACAGCCGTGCCCTCCGACGAGCTCTTATGTACCTGACTTTGTGCATCACAGTCACTGTCTATTCACAAAACCTCTTGTACGTGTTTTTGCAGCAGTGAGGTGCACTGAAGATGGCTTTATAAACAATCTCATACCTAATGGAAAAATGAAAAAAATGAATAGCAGTGCGTGAAAATATGAAGCCAGGAAAAACTGGAATTTCTCAGCCAGTTTTGGAGTCTCCCTTGCTTTTCAAGTCACAAGTCTTGGGGTTTTTAGTCTCCTTCCAGGAAATGAATGAGATTCATAGCCCAGAAAGGGCTTAGTCATTTCTGGCAGAGAGAAATATTTGTTTATTGTTTTGGACACAGGAAAGGAGTCAGGTGCAAGGAAGAACAAAAGGATTTATTTAATGTTTAAAACAGACTGTGTTTGGCTTAGCTCCGTGTAAGGCAAACAGAGTGTTTGGGCTGGAAAATCAGGATGTGATGCAAAACAGTGTCCTGATAGTGTATATCTTTTACAGCACCACTTGCCTTGCAGTAGCTGACCCTGTATGAATCAGACGTCTTTCAGATCTTAGGAACTGTCGTGTTTTTTTCTTGATGGAAATGGTGTTCTATACAATTTAAATATGAGTATGTTGAAGAAGCCTTATGTTTTCCTTTTTCCGTTATCTTCTTCCTGTTTGCCACTGAATGCAGTTGAATTAATGATGTTTTTTCACATTTTTAAAATTCTTGATGGTTTTCTTTTTGTCATTGTATGTTTTTATTGTTTTTTTTTTTTTTTTGCTTGTTTTCCAACCCATTGTGACACATTTGAAATCTACCATGAGGGAAGGGGGAAGGAAAGTGAAAAGTGTGGGAAAATGCCATTTGTTTGGTCATAGTGAAAAGCTCTGAGAGGAGGTTGGTGGGCTGAATATTGTTCTTAAAAGTGCTCAAAATGAGTTGTTTCAGAATGTTAGCTTTCTTTTTACTGCAAATATTGTCTTTTTAGGGTGTCTATTTAAAAGTTGAATAGCAGTTATCATGTCTTTCTTTTTTTTTATGTTGCACAATTTGGATGGAAGGGGTCCCTAGAGGTGGCTTGGTCCTACCCTCTGCTAGCTTTGAAGTTTGGATGAATTTTGAGCACCTGCAAGGATGGACAGTTTGTAACCTATCTGGGTGACCTGTCCCAGTGTTCAGCCAGACTTGCGGTGAAAAATACTTTTCTTCTATTGAAACAGCATATTTACCTTTACATTTATCCTTTCAACTTTACAATTTGTATTTCAGATTTTTAATAACCATGAAGTTATTAGTAATTGCTTTATGTCATCAGCTTCTGCTCAATCCTGGGCAAGCCAGGTGGGAGTAGTAAAAGGAGAGTAGTCCAGCAAACACAGTCTGTAGAGGTGAAGGATGGGGAGGAATGTGAGTTGCTGTTTCTGACAAAGTACATCAGGGGTGAAAACAGCTGGTCGAACTTCCTAGTGGTTCTCCTACCACGTGCGTTCAAGCTAGCCATGAACAAATTTAGCTTAAGCTTACATGGAGGTTGTTAGGTCAGGCAGGTAAAACTTTGTTACTAGAATATTCAGGGTGAGATAATAGAAAATATTGTTGTAGATGGTGTTCAAGACCACAAAGATTAATTACTGTTTATTCGTTATTTTTAGAACTAGGTTCTTTTGTAACAGACTTACTCATACTGCATTGCCTTTAAGATTTAGCCACCAGAAGAGTAACTTCATTTGCTGCAGTCCCCGAGCAGAGAGAAAGCTATGCTTCTTGCTAAGGGCTCCCTTTTTGCTGAGTGGAAAAGTCGTGATCTTGTCTGCCCCAGGGCAAGTTTATCTGGCTTTTTTACAGTGTCACAATATACATTGAAACCCAGTGGCCCCAGGCCAAAGTTTTAATCAGAGGATGGAGTTCAGATGAAAGTTTGTCTTTTTGTTTCTGCGTTTTTAATCTGAGGGTTGGGGTGTGGTTAGTGTGTAATCAGATACTTAGTGTGCTTAATACTGGTTAACACATTTGCATGTGTTTTAATTAGATGGATTTACATGCTGGTTGCTTATTAACACTGTATATAGAAAAATTGGCGTAGTTGGAAGCATCTTAAGAAAGTACTTGGATGTCTAAAGAGGGACTTCAAGCAGAATTTAAGTACTCCAGACTAAGGAACAATTTTCAAAGCTCATTTTTTACTGAGCATTTTAACCTGGAAATGCATAATGTTTGCTCAAGGCCTGTGTTTTGGACATGCCCATTTCCTGGACATCTAAACTTGAACTTTCGGGTGTGCACGTAAATATGCCAGATAAGCGAGTGCTGGTGCCTGATGTCTGGTGGTGCTCTGCCAGGGTCCAGACTGGTGGCATAGCCTTGAGTTTGCTAGTCTTTCCTGGGGAGACGTTCTTGAGTATAGAAATAGCACTGGGACTAGTGCAAAGCACATATGATGCTATCAATCTCTGGAGAAGAAAAATAGAAACACAGAAAGGGAAGACACTGGCACACATGTTTGTAGTGTATCTGAATAGTTAGGGCATTCTCCAAGCAAGTGAGACGCACAGGCTCCCAGCATTTGTATTATCCTGCTTCCATATTCCTTATGTGCTGACTTTACCCAGCCACTCACTCACTGTGTGGGTTCTGTTCTTGTGAAACTGCATCTGGTGTACTGCATCCAGCTCTAGGATTCCCAGCACAAGAAAGGCATGGACCTTTTGCAGCAGGTCAAGGGGAAGGTCACAGAAATTACCAGTGGGCTGTGACATTTCTCCTATGAGAATGGAGAAGGCACTGGGGAGACCTTATTGAAGCCTTTCAATATGTAAAGGAGGCTTATAAGAAAGATGGAGACAGAGGCTTACCAGGGCCTGTAGCAACATAACAAAGGGCAACAGTTTTAAAATGGAAGAGGCTATATTTAGATTGAATACAAGGAAGGAATTTTTTATGGTGAGGGTGGTGGGACACTGAAACAGGTTGCCCAGAGAACAGAGTCTGGATGTCTCATTACTGAAAGTGTTCAAAGTCATGTTGATGGAGCTTTGGGCAAGCTGATCTAGTGAAAGATGTCACTGCCCATGGCAGGGGGGTTGGACTAGGGGATCTTTAAAGGTCCCTTCCGACCCAGGTAATTCTATGGTTCTATGTTGCTGTGTAGCAAAGCAGTTCTACAAATGCTTGAGTTGGATTCAGTGGACATGAAGGTTGTATGTGCTTGAAAACTTTGAAATGTGTATGCCATTTCACTTGATAGAAATGTAAACACTGTAATTCATACTAATGTTGGTAGCAGCAATGATCACCGCCTCCGAAGACCAAAACTAGAAATCTTTTGCAGAACTTTGAGGGAAAAAAACGTAGTTCATTACTTACCTCTATGGCCTAGGAACCTGCAGCAGATTCTGTGTCCAACTGGATGCATTTTGGCCTCGAATCTGAAATGGGGAGACGAAGAAAAGAATCTGTTGCTCAAAACCTGGGAGTGTGAGTGTTGCACGGACATGCTAATGCACTAGATCACATTTTGGCTAGCCACAAGTAAGAGGAAAGTTTGAAGATGACTTTATTTTATAAAGTAATGATGTTGCATTTTACATGTGTGTTCTAGAAATACTTAGGTACATACTGTAAATATGTTTAGTGATATTCTGGTATAAAGAATTCCCCCTTCATCTTGTTAATGTGTCTGCTTCTGTTATAACTGCAGTGAAACAGGTTTCAGATGCTACGTGCAGGTTTGCTGGCTGTTACAATTTCGGAGTCTTGTGTTCTGAAGCTCCCTTTTACTCTGATCTGGAATTTATTTTATTTATTGAAGGAAGCTTGACCTGGTTTTTCCTGGATTTGATGCTGTTGAAAGTTTTAATTCCACCTGAAGTGGAACGGTAGAAGTCTGGATGGGTTGCTACTGAATAGGCAGGGCAAAAACTCATCACCAGTGGAGATTATGCAGTAATTTTTCCCTGTGAGCAAGTTCCTTAGGTTCTTTGCCATTCTGGGTTTATGAGATGGGAGAGCTAGCTTTTTTTAATACTACAACGTTTCACGTCCAGTGTTTTCAAAGGAGAATAATGATTTCCCCCCCAAAGACAGCATTCCAAAAGGTCCACCTACGGGAAAGGCAACTCTCCTGTTAATAAGATGTCCAGAGAGAACATACTCAACTAAGATGTGACAAGCAGCCTTTTGCTATGGAGAAGGAAGATGTGAAAGGAAAGGAAAGATGTGGGTCTTACACCTGTTTTGGATGGGACAAGAAGCATCAAGCTTATATTGGGAAAGGGTGAGCTAAGTTAGGCATTTGAAGTCTTTGTAACTGAAAGGATAAAATTTCCCCTTGTGTAGATTGCCAGTGAAGTTTGTGAAAGCCTCTTGTATTTAGAAAGTTTTTAGGACAGATGAGACAAACATCTGTCAGGAGCTATTCAAGTTGAACCAATCGTGTTAAAGCAAGGAGTGGATGAGAGACCTCTTGAGGACTCTTCAAGGTTGGTTTTTTGGTTGGTTGTTTTTTTTATGATTCTATAAAATAAATATTCCTGATACTTTCAGAGGGAGTATTTAAACTGAATAAGAGTCAGCCATGAGCCATTGTATTTGCGCGTGATTATGCGGTACCTTTGCTCAGTGCGTGTTTCTGAAAACTCTTGCATTAGCTTTTGGCTATGTAACTGCTTTTTCTGATGTAGGATTGCTTTCCATCAGACAGTTTTATCTTGTAAATATTGTTGCAGAGAGGAAATCTGTCAGCAATTTGCTATTGATTTTAATTGTATTTACACAAATGAGTGTATGTACCTATGTATGCATCAGGTGCTTTGCTTTTCCTTTGCCATTGGAGCGCGTAATTTTTACTACTGTGTTCTGAACTAGTTGGGTAGCAGGGAGTGTGTTGAATCAGGATGATAAATTTCACTGGAAACCTAATAGGTTTCAGCCAGTTGTTCTAAGAGCCCTTAAATGCTTGACCTTTGTGAATGTACCCTTATATTTAACCTCATACCAAAATGTCAGCATAAGGAACAGGTTAAGTGGCTCTTGATCTTAATTTTATTTATTGCCTTTAAATTGCAGAGGGTTTGTGTTTGAGAATATATGTAGACAGATAAACCCATCTTTGAATAAAAACCAAGGAAGGGCTTGGGTAGAGAATCAGCATCTAGTGACTAACTTATCGTTGTGTGCTCATTTATTTTAAGCTTCATCCTGTTGAGCTTGATGATTATGTGCTAAAAAGTGAAGAGGAAGAACTGGCAGGTGAGGTCACCTTTCTGAAAAGGGAGACACAAGAATTATCCTGTATATTTTACCTACATGATTGTCAGACTATGGCTTGCTGTACTGCTGAGGGTCTCTTGCAGTGACGCCTTGAAAAATCATCCCCTGCCTCCTTTATTTTTTTTTTTTTTTTTTTAATTTTGGTACTTGGCCATGCTGCCAGATGTTTTATGTTGCTGAAGCAATGGAAAGCAGCTGCAAAATTGCCTGTTAACTATCTTCTGAAATATATTGGGACATCTATTGTGCTGAATGTTGTACTACATGCAGGGAAAGAGAGAAATGCTGAGATTATCTAATTCAAACTGTTTTCTCCACATGGGTCAATCCCAAGCACGAATACAGGCTGGGCTGAGACTGAGTTGGGAATGGCCCTGTGAGGGACTTGGGGGTGTTGGTCGATGGAAGCTCAACATGACCCAGCAGTGTGTGCTCACAGCCCAGAAAGCCAGTGTGTGCTGGGCTGCAGCAAAAAGAGCGTGACCAGCAGGTTGAGGGAGGGGATCCTACCCCTCTACTCTGCCCTTGTGAGACCCCACTTGCAGTTCTGCATCCAGCTATGGGGCTGCCAACACAAGAGGGACCTGCTCGAGTAAGTCCAGAGGAGGGCTACTGTCATGGTTTAAAACCAGCCAGACAGCTCGTTCACTCACTCCCCCCCTTCTTTCACTCTCCCTACTCCCAGAGGCACGGAGAGGAGAATCGAAAAGAATGCAACTCCCACAGGTTGAGATAAGACCAGTTTAGTAACTAAGGTATAACACAAATCACTACTGCTGCCACCTATAATAATAATGATAAAGAAAATAACAAGGGAAGAGAATACAACACCTCAGCACCAACAGACCAGTAACTTGCCCCACCAGCCCAACCAAGCACCGATCGATACCTCGTCCAACCCTGCAGTCCTAGCCCTTCCGGGTAGTTCTCAGTTACATCCTGGGCATGATGTGCTGTGGTATGGAATACCTCTTTGGCTAGCTTGGGTCAAGTGTCCTGTCTCTGCTTCCTCCTGGCTTCCCCTCCTCCCTGGCAGAGCATGAGGTTCAGAAAGTCCTTGGTCAGATCAAAACATCAGTGTTACCAGCTCTGTTCCCAGGCTGGAAGTTGAAACACAGAGCTGCACCAGCTACTAAGAAGGAGAAAAATGACTGCTACTGCTAAACCCAGGACAGCTGGGATGCCCCAGACATCCCAGAACCCAGGATAGCTCCATCCCAGATCAGAGGGATGGAGCACCTCTCCTATGAAGACAGGTTGAGAGAGTTGGGCTTGTTCAGCCTGGAGAAGAGAAAGCTCAGGGGAGATTTTAGAGCAGACTTTCCAGCACCTAAAGGGGCCCTACAGGACATCTGGAGAGGGGCTTTTTACAAGGGCATGTAAGTATATGACATAGAGTAATGACTTGAAACAGAAAGGGGGTAGATTTAGATTACATATTAGGAGGAAATTCTTCACTATGAGGGTGGTGAGATGCAGGAACAGGTTGCCCAGACAAGTTTTGACTGTCCCATCCCTGGAAGTGTTCAAGGCCAGGTTGGATAGGGCTTTGAGAAACCTGGTTGAGTAGAAGGTGTCCCTGTCTGAGGTATATTTGAACTAGGAGATCTTTAAGGCTCCTTCCAACACAAACTATTCTATGATTCTGTGATTCTTTGATGAAATTATAAGGCATTTGGATATCGTAGTTTAGCTCCATAGGTGGAATTTAACTCTGTTGATTTCATTGAAAGTTGTATTCTGCCAAAGTACTTTAGTAGGTCTGAGCCTGAGTTGTGATATTTCTGCAGAGGATAACAAGGTTTTTTTGATGCTTCCTAGCCAAGAAAATGCTGGAGCTTGTTATACATTATTTTGTTTGTTTATTGTGTTTTCTCAGAGCCTAAACATAAAGAAACTCTTCTCCACCTTGTGATGAAATTGGGCTTGGTGAAGCTTTCCCAGTTCTTAGCAGCCCAGCCTGGAGGGTCATCAGCATTAGCATTACCTAATGATGATGGAGCAACACCATTAGATTTGGCTTTACAAAATGGACACTCTGAACTTGTAAAGGTCTTCACAAAGTGAGTACAACAGTTTGCTGCATCCTCTGAAAAACTCCTATCAGTTAAGCGGTGTTGAGGAGTACTGGTGTTATTGAGAATTGATTATTTTGTGTTGGTTTCTGTTGCTTTTTGCCTTTATTACCATTTTAAGTGGTAAACTATTTGCAATTGAAGGAAGTTTATGTTTTGCATCCTTCATTACATTTGCAAGTCGATTAATAGTCAGTTATATGACAGAGGAGCAGCTGCCCCATCAGGTACCTTTCCCAGCACTGTTGCAGCTGAATCCTGACACATTACCAAAAAGTAAGGACACACATTAAAACACATATGGACAAATATTTTTTTTTATAAATATATGTAAACATAACCACAGGGCCTGACTTTCACAGAAATTCAGCATACTTTGTGACCTGTGTAAAGTTCAGGTATGGATGGATAAGGGATGGATGGATATCTTATCCATACGGATGGATAGGCTGCAGCAAAGCCAGTGCTGCAGCTATGCCTATTTTGCCAGAGAGCTGCCACACTGATAAATGACTTGAAGTCATTTCTGGAACATTTAAGTTGGCTGGAGTTTTCTATATAGCGACCTGAGGAGCTGCGTGGGGTGTATGTGTGTATATGTGTCTTGGGGGGTGAAATGTTCAGCATCAGTTGCCCCTTCTCACTGTTGGCTTTTATTTGCAAATAGAAATATACAAGAATTGGGTTACATATTTATTTGGTACGTGGCTCTTTTGGTTCTGGCTCCATGCAGCTTATACTTTATGTGAGACTTAACCTGTACTTCAGTTTGAAAAAAAAACCCTTGAACACTGGTACAGTACATTATGTTCTTGTATGTTATCCTAATGAATGTCTCATTTCTCTGTAACATCCAGACAGTGCTGTGCTGGCTTGAGATACTTTCTGTTCTTCACAGTTGTGGGATAAAAAACCTGCTAGCTGCCAGTTGTGTCCTACTGCTATATATGGCAAGGTTAACAGGAAAAGGTACTATTGCTAATTTAGGAGAAATAGATGTTGTCAAGGCTTGCTTTTGTGGCTTATTTTACTAATAAGTAACCATCTAGTGCTGACAATTATTTCCTGCTGATGGTTAGAAGGAGCTGTGTGTTCTTAGGCCTGAATAGAGTAACTGGTAAGTATTGTTTGCCCAGCTGTGTTTTTGGTGGATGTTTCAGATTTTCTGTCTCTATTTTTTGCAGCGGGTACATTGAGATCCTGTTGGGCTGTGTCAAAGGCGAGCCAGAACCTTCCTGTGGCTGTGCTTTCATTTTACCTGTGCACAGAGCATCTGCTTTGGTTTAAATTGTATGTTGTTCCAGTTTCCAGGGCAGTCACTCGCTTGACATTTCAAGAGTGGAGATCAGTGAGGGTGCTTGCGTGCAGTTTATTCATTCATCAGGAGCTCTGACACTCACATTTAGCCACACAACACAGCACTTGCTGGAGTCGGACATTAAGCTCTTCAGAAAATACTTCTGGGACAGACCTCTTCTTTACCAGGTAAATACCTGTGTAGCTCAGGGGATTGTCCAGAGATTTTATTCAGTAATTTCCAACTATAGACTCTTTAGGCAGGATTTGTTTTTCTTGAGTAGTATCAGTTTAAGCTGCCTCTGTCACTGGCCAGCTTAATCACAGGATTACTGTTGTGGGCTTCTACTTTGCGTAAGTGTAGCACACTGTGTGTGAAGTTGGAGGATAAGAGATGTTGAGCGCTTTATCAAAGCCTCCTTTACCTCCCAGCTTGTTTGTGAATCAGTGTGGACTCTACAGTGAACCTTTCCTGCAATCTGTCTTTAATTGCATTGCCATTGTATTCACGTTGGTACTTTGAAATATATAATTTCTGTTCTTTTGTTTAGTAGTGTAATGCCTGGAAGCCTTTATCAAGAGCCAACCCCACTGTATCATTTACAGCAGAAATACAGAGTGCAGGCTTTTGCTATAGAGTTTACTTATGGCTTAGTAGGACTTACTCTACTGTAAGTTATCTAGAGCACTGCCGTGGTATTCTTCAGGATGCCTCTCAATTTCTGTGAAGTAAAGAGGAAAACGCTTGAAATCACATGAGCTTTAATAACAGTGCAGGTGCTCACTTATGGTTTTAGATTGATAATACATGACTATATAAAATTAGTGAAATAAACCCACACTAAAAATAGGCTTTTTTTTTTTTTTTTCTCCTGGTCTTAAAATCTTTTACTTCCATGCTTAAGTTATGCTTTCATACTTGGATGCTGACTTTCCTTGGGTTGTCTTTATTGCATTCTGTATGTTTTTGTGGTTGTTTTTTTTTTTTTTTCTAGGTTACAGTGTGATCCACGTGTTATCTTTAACACAAAAACTTAAGGTGTGATGTATTGTATAGACCTTATGTATAATCTTGTGTATCTACACTGCCAGGATTTTGATTTGTTCAAATACAAAGAAGTTCTTCTGTATACCTACTGTTTGTGTGTAGCTCTTCCAGAGAAACAATACTAAACTCAATAGCAAAACCAAGACAGTAATAAAGAATGCATTGTTATTTGTATCATTGACTCTTTCTTGCACTCAACAAATCCTTGTTCTTTTTTCAGTCTTTGAAATAGCAAGAGAAAGTGTGGTGTGGTAGATGTTTGCAGGGCTCTCAAAGACTGTTTAAAGGCTGCAAAATTATTTTCTTGGTGTTTTCAGGAAAAAGCTAATACCTTTTACTTGTGGGTTTCCCTTTTGCTTATTCCTGTACTTGCAGCAGTCTAGATCCTTGATTGTGGGGACCTGCCCACTGTTAATATTGCACTATTTTTAATAAAGCAGAAATAAGCCAGAATAATTGGGGAAGATCATGCGGTTTAGTTCATTTCCCATACATCAGAGATCATCCTGAAGCGATGATATATGTGGGGGGATGATCAAAGTGTCATGTTTAGACTGGGGGGATGAGCGAAGTGTCATGTTTAGACTATGTATTATGTGCAAAGCGTAAGGTAAAGTTGTTTTTTTTCTTGGACTTGCAGCCCTTACTTGGATCCCAAGCATAAGATAGTATTAGA